GATTAATTATACCGGAAAGAGCGTTCTTTTTCTTTTTTTTTTTCCTCTTCCTTTTGTGTTCAGCCACCGCCACCGCCACCGCCACCGCCACCGCCGCGCATCGTCCCGCGCTAGTAATCTGACTGGTAATGAACTCTAGGAGCCGAGGGGGAAGTGCTGCTTTAAAAGGGGATTATTTCAATAATGCGTGTTTTGTCACGGAGCAAGGAATGGATTATCGTGAAATTTTATGTGTACGGCGAAGTCCGGGTCGATAAAGTTCCTTTGTCAGGCCTAACGGATTTCGTCGCGTGGAACAGAGCGTTAGATTTTGTTGTTGTTTTTTTTGTTTTGTTTTGTTCTCACTCTCTGTCTGTCTGTCTCTCTCTCTCTCTCTCTCTCTCTCTCTCTCTCTGCTTTTATCTTTCTCCATCACTATCTATCTGTCTATCATTCTATCTCTCTCGCCATTTCACACAATATTAAATAAATGTAGAGGGATGATCAAGACTTAGGCATTGGTTTGAGGAAAATTGCCGTTCCATTTAATAATCACGCATGCATCTGCTCTCGATAAGGCGTGATCACGAGATTTTTATTCAGCCTAAAGAACACAGAGCAGACAAAACTTTCTCTCAAGACTGTATGTCAGGGAAACTTCCTTAAAGAGGTTTTTGCCCGCCGCCGAGGGTCAGTCCTCGCTTTCAATAGCTCGAGAACTCTCGTATGTGCCCCTCAAGAACACTGACCTTGCGCCATCCGTAAAAGAGAAAGACAGAGACACGTTTTGTATATTGTGTCTCGCTTGTGTGTGTGCGCGGGTATTTCTTTTACGATGTACGCCTTGCAGAATATCGATAGAAGAAAGTCTTCAAAATCTGTTGGCAACGTCACGGAAGCGCAGCTTAAACGATATCTCGTGTAAACATTGGCTTTTCCAATTGCCGCGAATTCCGAGATCTCGTTCCCGTAATTATCCTCTCGTTACACGCGCCCACGGCATTTACTAATTAAATGTTCCCAAAGCCTTTTTTTTTTGTTTGCTCCGAACGGTACGACACTCCGCGCGATCCCACAGATACCCGACAAAATCCAACCAATCGCCGAGTCGGCTATTCAACAACAAATTGGCCTCGCCACTCTCTGCATCTTTAAATGTGAATTGAACAAAAGCTCGAGGGATGAGCGGAGTAGAGTAGAGTGGATAGTGGATCGGGGAGGTACGAAGCCGGATGGGCAGGAGGGAGGTAGGGAAGGCTCCAGCGAACCATAACCGTCTAATAATAACGCTAAGAGGATTTAAAGGCGAGCGCACGAGGAGAGACGGGAGAGGAATCCAGAGGCGACATGTGCATCTCACCCCACGTAGCTTTCACACGCTAACCCTCTCTCTTCGTACCTGCAGCCGGGCGCCCGATTGTTTTCCTTCCGCGAGAGCGAGCGAACGCGAGCGGGTGGTCGGTCGGTCGGGAGGGGGGAGGGGGGGGGTGCATGTTACATACGCGCGTGTACATGTGTCGGAGAAGGCGCGCGATCGATCCGAGTGTATGTTTTTTTGTGTCGGGGCGCCGCGCCCGCCTACAGGTATATAAGCGCGATGCGCTCGGGATAGCTCGAGGGCAAGAGCCTGGGAAGAGGATTTTCCCTCCCTCGTCGTCCCCGCTTCTTTTTCTTACCCTTCACGCGATATGGGAAATTGCCCTCTAAGCCCTTTTTCATCAGCCCATCACCTTGCCGCAAATTATAGGTGCGCTCGCCACACCGGGAAATTAACCGTCGTGGAAGCTTAAGAGTCTGAGATGAGAAGGAGGAGAAGATGAAGGCAATGAAGGTGAAGGAGCTCGTGGTCGTAGCCAATGTCCGTGATATACGTCGTCGTCCTACCGTATCGGCTACGTACGTCAGTAGTGTGCCAACGCACGGACGGACAGCTTTAACCGCCTATTAATTAAGTTGTAAATTTTTGTAATATCACTTTACGCGCCCGAGCCCCGATTAAAATATTTAATGCTCGAGTACTAAATAAATACCGAATCCCTCCGTCGCTATCTCACTGCTGCCCCCCTCCGTGTACTTAAGCGGAATTACTATGTTCTTTTCTCTAGGACAATTTCTTTTGCCATAACTCATATAACGAGTAAAGTGTTGTACTTGTTACACTTCTCTCTCTCTCTCTCTCTCTCTATATATATATATATATATATATATATATATCTCCCTCTCTCTATATCTTCCCTCTATCCCACCCTATATATATATATATATATATATATATATATCACTCTCTCTCTATCTCTCCCCTCTATCCCACCCTATTTCTCTCTCTCTCTCTCTCTCTCTCTCTCTCTCTCTCTCTCTCCCTCTCTCTCTATCACTGTGTGTGTGCGCGCGCACAAGGTATACTCGAACCGATAAAAGTTTTCTCCCCTGCTAATCGTGAATCGAAGAATGCATTTCGGTTAGGGTGGGGAAACGTCACCATTGTGTCGGTGCTCGCGCTAAATGCTTCATATGATCAGATAACATTCACATGGGGAGTTTTATGCTGACGAACCTTTTTCTTTTACTCAGATGCACAACTTTATCGAGAGTATTGCTCGAAAATATATGTAGAGAAAAATCGATGGTAATTGCCGTCTTATCCTAATGTTAATAATTTATCTTTATGATATTGTTGATGAAAAAAGGAAAAAGTAGATAGAACTCCATACCGTGATTCATAATGCTTTTCCTGTAAAAGTAGGCACAACGTCAATCAATTGTTATTTGCAATATATTTTTATCAAATCTTCGTTTCAATAATAATACTTATTGTTGTCGTTTTTTCTTTTCTAATATAAATTGAATTCTCTCATACGGTAGAATAGATATTTATAGTAATTAAGAATGATTTGAATATCTTAGATTTTCAAAATTAAATTAATTTGATTATTTAAAAACAATTGGCAAAATTAGATTTATACATTTTTTACTAAAGTAACAATTGATTTTTACATATTTTAGAAATAATGATTTATATTTTAAATTTGTTTTATAATATCTTATGTAAAAACACTGTTTAAATTTATAAACGTTATATTTAATCTTAATAAATATTCTCTTAAATTGTTCAACAACTAATTGATACGACGAAAATGATTTGCACATAACGTAATTAGTGACTATTTAAATATCTAATACATCTGATTATTCGAATTTCTATTTATTCACTTTATTTTTAAATATTACGTATTTGATATTGAAAATAAAAAGTATGCTTAATTTATTTAAATATTAATCAATTAATTGTAAATTAATAAGTTAAAAAATAAAAATTGATGTATTCCCAATTTTTTAACAATCAGCTTTCGATGTACGGAAATTCATAGAATATAGGTTTATAATGTGGACGTTAAAAACAAAAATTGTAATTAAGCATACACGCGTAACCTCGAGTTAATTCTTAAATCCTTTACAGATTTAGTAATATTTTTAGTACTTTTTTAGATATAAAACTATGAGCATTATATAATGAAAAAATTTTCATATTAAACGTCATTGTAAAAGTGACTGTTAAACTAATGAACGTCAGGCGTCATATAAGAAAATTTACAAGCTACTTAACGTAATTGTTGATGCTGCTGA